AAGCATAGTTCAGCTGAGAGTGGCAGGGCAAGAAAAAAATGGCAAAGGAGATGGACTGTTCCTATAGAAAAGCACATTTGTGCGCAGTGAAAAAACACACAACAGCCACAACAGCTCTCACCGAGCAAGAGTCAAGGAAGGGCCAGTGGCTTCTGCCCTTTTCTTCTCCATCTTTTTCCTATCCAGAAAGTTGCAGCAAGGACAGCACCTCAGGAATGCCCCCTAGCATTTCACTCTATCTCACTAGAAGAGGAGTCTCTCTGCATATGCCTGTCTCAACCAAGACACAGGCAGAGGCTCTGCCTACATGCATCAAGCTGAGTATGGCACAAGCCAAGGGAGAAATCAGTGACCCTGAATTCCCCAAAATCCCTGATGACAAAATGCTGAGAGAGCTTTGCAGAAGGGCAGTATGTGGTGACTTCACCCTTGTTAGCAGCTAAGCCTTCACTCAGCTGTGCTGCTCACTCCATCCAAACAAGCATGACACCACAAATACCATAAGCAGAAATGCCCACCACCAGTGGGCAAAGGAGTGTGACGACAAATTGGTGTACACAGTAGATGAGAAATGAAGGGCAAAAACTAGGAAGAGCAGGCAGAGGAATGAGAAAGGCAGGAGGGAGGCTTACTGGGATGTAATGTTCTCAGTGCTGTGGAAGACACAGCTGAGAAGGGGGAAGAAACAGATGATGGCAGCAGGCTGGTTTTGGCTGTGAAGGGTGCAGAGAATGCAGCTGTAGGTGACTCTATTGGAGCAATGGTTGTCAGAGAAGAGGGCTTGGGTCTCAGTGTTGTAGTGTGGGCTTTCTCATGGAAGTTGGAGTAGAGGCAGAGATGAGAGTAAATGGGGCAGGAGATGGCAGCCTGGCGCTGAGAGTGAGGGTGACAACCCTGGGGTGCATACTGTACATCAGGAATAAAGGGGAAGTACTGGGAAAGCAGTGAGAAGGAGTAGAATTGGGAAGGACTAGGTGGAGACTTACCGAGATGTGATGTGCTTAGTGCTGTCGAGGACATAGTTGAGTAAGGGGAAGATGCTGATGATGACAGCAGACTGGTTTTGGCTGTGGAGGGTGTGGAGGATGCAGGTATCAGCAACTCTGTAGAAGCACTGGTTGTTGGGGAAGAAGGCTTGGGTCTTAGCGTTGTAGGAATTGTTTTTGGCATGGAGATTGGAGGTGAGGTGGAGAAGAGTGTTGATGGGGCAGGAGTTGGTAGCCTGGTGCTGAGGGTGCTGCTGAGGACAGGAGATGTTGTTGTCAGTGGGATTTCTGGGCTGCTAGTGGGGCTGGCTTCAATGGAGACAGAAGTCTTGGAGGTGCTGGTGAAAGATGTGACAGGGGTAGTCTTCTCTGTGGTGAGAGGCAGCACAGTTGTCTTGGAGGCTGCCATTGGAAATCAGAAGTTGATTGGTCTCGTTACTATACATGCTAAATATGGATATACATATGAATATATATATATATGTATATGAATATGGATCATGTCTGTTTCGCAGTGTGTTGGATAGATTTCCTGGAGCAGCTGAGGTTACTGATGGAACAGGCATTAATATCTCTTTCCTGACCAGAGCACTCATTCGTTACTACTTTACTAGTTGTAGTCTAAGCTCTGGTTGGCTCCCTTGCTACAAAGAAAGTGATGAGAAAAAACGATGGTTGAGTCTTGGGAAGAATCCTGTGTGAAGCATGTTGTGGCATCTTCTGAAAGGAGACTGTCCTGGTCAATACCATGAAGACCTGGGCATGTGGAGCATTACAGGTCTGTGTGGGGGTAATGCACCCTGGAGTTTGAGCATCTTCTTGCCCACCCCTCCATTGGTGATATTTTTGCACCGAGGATCAGCACCTGGTTTCTTTATCTGCACAGCAAGGAGGCAGCATTTGTTGGCCCAAGTTTGCCATTGCTGTGTCAGGGCCCAGGCATCCTTTGTATGGAAAACATACTTGTATTCTCTCTCTCACCAAAAACTATCCTAGAATTGTAATCTTCCACTCTCACTGCCTTTTATTCCCCCTGCTTTCTTACAGCACTGCTACAAGAGGAGGGCCTGTGTGTAAACTGGTCTTCACCTGCTAGTTGTTGGGCAGAAACTCAAACAAGACTGTAGGGTGATAAAGCTCTGTGCCCCAGAGTCAAATGCCTGAAGCAGCAAGGGAGAAGGATGTCATTAGGGGCAATGTGACTGCCTGAGTTTGAGTGGTATGGCAAGAGGAATAGGAATAGAAAATGAATATCAAAAGTGAAACTTGTGTAACACGACACTCAGAATAGAAGGGTGGGAGCTTGAAGGAGCAGGTGGCAGCATGAATCGGAGCAAAAGGGAGCCTTACCTGGATGTGATGGTCTCAGCCGTGTTGAGGATGGAGAAGAGGGGAAAGAAACAGATACAGCTGTGGTGGCAGGTAAAGAGGTGGGGCTCACAGGTATCCTTGTCAGCGGAACTTCTGAACTGCTGGCAGTGCTGGCCCCTGTGGAGACAAAGGTCTTAGAGGTGCTGCTGGACAGTGTCACTGGGGTGGTCTTCTGTGTGATGAGATGTGGTACAGTGTGTGGCATGGTTGGTCTTTTGTGGGTTACAGCTACTGGAAGGAAGGCACAAGTCAATTGAAGGTGGCAGAACAAGAAAGGAAGGTGGAGGGAATGTAAAGATTCTAGGCAGAATACAAGGGCTGGGGATGGGGCACAAAAGGCAGGCCTGGATCTCACTCAGTCTTGCTGAGCAGAAAGGAAAAACAGACCAGGGTCTTCTGCCTTCACATTCCCTTTTCTGCTTCTCCACAGAAATATGGGGTAAGAACTGGGCCAGTTCAGCACCCTATGCCTCTTCCTGGACCTCCTGAGGGAAGAAGAACAACCTCTCCAGATTTGTGCATCTCCCTTAAAGGCACTCCAAGCTGGGCATGGGCATCCCAAGAAAAAGCTAGGTAAGTAAAACAGAGTCACAGGCCAATGACAGCTTTCAGATCATTCTTAGTCACCTACTGAAACTTGGTGGTGCAGAGTGGTTGCTTGATTTCCCTCACTCTCTCCAATGTAAGGAAAAATGGATATTCAGTAATGCTCAATGTCTGGGAAGGTACCTAATAAAAGTGGGTTGTGATGCTTTCTCAGACTAAGCCAATACTGTTGGCAGAAGGAGACCTGAATGTATGCACCCCAACAGTACGGGTGAGAGATGTTTGGACTGGGAGATAGTGTGCAGGTGCCTTCTCACAGCTGACTTCTCCCTGCATGCTGTCCCAGCCTCTGGTCTCAGTTGCTAAGCTAGGTGTACAGCAATAGAAGAAGCTGTCATAGTTGACATATGGCATACTTGACTTCTCAAAATGCCACTTCCTTTGTGACAGACAGGATTTATATTTTTTGGAGAAGTTGTCTAAGGAGAATGCACATCTGTATGTTTGTCTTTGAAAACTCACTTTAAAGTACAGAAAGATTTTTACCTTAATCTACTTCCTTGGAAGAAGTGAGTAGATAGAGAAAGGCCTCTGAGAGAAATGTTAGTTTTAAGATCTTATTCAGATGTGCAATGCTCGCTGCATTGGCAGGACGCTGAAGTTTTCATTTTTATTACAATTCATCAGTCACCATTTTCCTTTCTCACTAATTTGCACTTTTAAAACATCTAGTAAGAATGAATGTTTTTTTTTTTTTTTACGCTTACCTACTGTTGCAATCTGAGATGTAGTATAAGGTATTGAGATGGTTGTCATTTCTTCTTTGACAGTAGTCTCTAAGAGTGGTGTAGTGAACCTTGTTTTTTCTGTCTCTGTTGAAACAATGGTTACTGAGGCAGTAGTTGTAGATTTTGGTTCAGTGAAGATGGTTCCTTTCGCTGAGGTAGTTATGGAAGGTGTAGTTACTGTAGAGGTCATGCTTGGCATAGTAAAAATTGATGTTGTATGTTCTTTTGGAGTAAAAGGTAAGGAATATCATGTGAGTAATCAATTTATGTAATAATTAAAATAGACAAAACATGAAAAAGCTGCCCATGTTCACAAGACATAGTTTTTTGCCCTGGATCTTTTTAATGTTTTGCATGTCAAAACATTAAATCATTGTCTGTATTTATGTTCTCCTAATCTAAACAGCACCTTTTCCTACCTGTACTTGTTTTCTCTTACCTCATATTTTTCTTTGTTCTCATTTTATACATCTTTTTCTATTATTTCCTGTGATTTCCTATAATCATTCTTCGTATAATATTTCTAAAAGTTAGCGTTGTTGTCACTTATTAGCAAAAGCCTCTATAGGCTTTGCCCAAATAACAGTGTCACTGGCTAACCTTATATTCTGAATTAGCCTTCTACAATCCATATTACAAAACTAAATAACATCATACTGTAGGACCTTCCTTGTACCAGTTCTTGTCCTGCAAAGTGGGACCTCTTTTTACCTCTGTTTTCTTCTGATAGCCTGGGTCCAGAATGGCTTTTTAGTTGGAGTGCATGTTGGTGGAAAGCTGCATGCCATTATGAGTATCCACAAATCATATAATCGGAAAATAATTAATGCTGGAGAAGCCATCCTGCTGAGAGCAGGATCCTAGAATAGTAGTCACTGCACTGATACCTCTGTGATTTTGCCTTGAAGCCTGCTTATGTTATTATTTGGATTTTTGAGACTGGGTGCTATTTGAACATGACTGTGTAACTGAACCAGCTGTGTAATGGAGGTTGAAACTGAACTAATAAATCCAATTTTAGCTGAGCTGGCTCACTGCTCACTTCTAACATTCTTCTCAGATGAGTCACAACAAGTTATTTGAGTTGCATTTCTAACCTGTCATCTATATCCTTTCTCTTTCTCTTTCCACACACTTTCCATCCATACTTCCGAACATTTTTGGTTTAAACTGCTTTCTGGAAGCCTACTTTACCTACCTTCTAATCTGCAGTCTCTTGCTTGGATGTTGAGACAGCTTGCAATGCCTTCCTAGTGTAATGACGGCTCAACTCTATATAGAATGTGTTTGATGTAATTTGTTTTAGACAGTAATACAATAACTTACCAGTTGTTGACTTCATTGTGACAAGAGGTGATGATGAAGAAGTTCTTGGGACTGTGATTTTTGAGGTTACAGTGAGACTTCTGGTCTCAGTTGGTAAAGTAGATGCAGACGAAGTACTAGGTGATGCTGATTGGGTAGCTGTGGATAATGTGGCTGCAGTAGAGATTCCTGTTGCTTTAGGCTGCATTGCTGTTACTAATAGGAAAAAAAATCAAAATCAGAGTATAAGAAATAATTCTTCATAATCCATTAAAATATTCCTATAGAAATTTGAAAATTATTTTTAGAATGAAAAACTACTACCAGTAGTAACAATTGAAAATAATTCCTACCTTAATTTCAAATATTTAAGAAAATTCATTGATCTATTCCTTTATTGTTATTTGCAGCGAATATGTTGAACAGGAATTCTTGCAGAAGCTTTATTCATAAAACCACCTCTTTACCTTCCTCCTTTCTCATTTTCATTAATGAAAGTAATGTAATTTCTAACAAAGATCAGTAAATACAGGCTTCTTTCCTGGATCAGGCTACTGGAGCTTGATGTACGTGGTCATGCACTTCCAAGACCAGCTTCCACCAGCTTTATAACACTGTTAAGTGTTATATAGCCAATCACCATTTAAAATTGTAGTGAACATTTTGTGTGATTTTGTGTTTCAGGGAGAAGACAGAAATCCATACTCACTAAAAAAAAATTCATTACTAATGAAATTGTGCCTCAGTGTACACAAACATTTCTGGGAATTTTTTTGTGATAATTATGATACTGACTTTTTGTTATTGCATCTTACACATTCAAAACTGGTGATACCATTATATCAAGCAAAAAAAGGGTACTTCTTATCTCAGAAACAAGGATCAGGACATACACCAGTGTGTAAGTACTTGTTCAATCAACTGCTTAAACTAACCTGTTGAAGGTGAAGAAGTTTCTGGAGTAGCACTAATACTTTCATCTCCTGTGACATAGAAGTAGAACAGGTTACATTTTTAGTTGGAAGCATATTAAGAATATTCCAAATAAGGCAAATTTCAGATAGGAAGAAAAATTAGGTCTTTTCAAAGGATTGTGCTAATTAGTGTGATAAACCTGAAAATGCTTGTTTCTACATATATTGGTGATAAGCTTCACGTGAAACTACTTAAAAAATAATGAAGAACTTAATACAACTCTTAATACAAATCAACATGAGCATATTTCTGTTTAAGGGCACTTCACTTTCTAGGGATAATGGAAATGGTTTTTTATCTGTAAATAAGATCAGTAGCTGAAATTCTGGTTTCACAAGTAATTATTCTGTTAAATGAAATAAACAACTGTAATTGAGGGTGTTTTTTTTTTTTGTTAATTTTACATCTTCATGGAAATCCAAATTGTGTAGCGAGAGGCCATCCACAACATTATTTACTATGAAAGGTTTTCAGAGTAGGACACCGCACGGTAATAAATCTTAAGTTAAATAATTCTAAAAACCCACAGAATTTAAAGGGAATTGCTAAGTTAAGTATACTAGTTTTACATACCAGTAGTACAACAATAAGATTATCTTGAAGAAAAGTTATACAGGGATGAATGCTAATCATTAACTGAGAAGTAACTAGGGAAAACATCTTCTTTGTCAACACTCAAAGGTTTTAGTTACCGTAAAGAAAAAGGATGAGCATACAGGGCTCTACTTACCACATGGCATGCATTTTTCTTTCTCATAGTCAAAATATTCATCATGAGAGCAGTTGTAACAGCCTGAAGAAAAGGAAAGATAAATTCTTTTTACATTCCTCAGAGTACAGCGTTTACCCTATACTATGTATAATCCAAAATCTTAAATTTCTATTACTAAGAAATTGTATTGATTGTAACTTCATACATTCAGGCATCTCCAGTGTGATCCTCAGAAGGAACTGCATATGCAGTAAATTTTGGGGAGTTCTCCAATTGTATTTGTTTCTCTAACAGAAATCATACTGTTCTCTTCAGACCTTTTCTTACTCAAGGAGAGGTAGTTTTAATTAGCACAGGTCAGAGGACTTATCTTCGTGATAACCTCAGTTCAATATAAAGCCAGGTGTAGTACAGGTACTGAACAAATTATGCATTTAAAGCATTAGAGGTAAGGTAAAGAAAGCAAAACTGCTTTAAAGGTAACATCTGTGAAAACATTACTAACTGTGATATGGAAAAAAAAAACACCATGGAAAATAATTATGTTATTGCTTTGTGGTTTGAAATAGTATAGCTTATTACCTTCAATGTTCATATATTTGTAGTATTGATTTGGACAATTACAAGGCCTGTAATGCCAGGTGCAGTTGACACTGGAGCCATAGGAATAAGCATCCCCACTTCCTGTTTTTCTGTGAGAATTGTAATACTCACAGTAGACAGCTAGAAATGGCAAAATCAGGAGAAAGGTCAGAATTTTTCAAAGAGAGAACGTTGTTTTCAAAGGACTGAAGGGAAGACAAAATTTATCAGCAGCTTGAGTAAAAAAAATTGTCACTGGAACTTTCAGTATGATGTGCAAATTGAAATTTGCTTTAGTGATATAAGTCAGTTTCTTTTTTTGTGAGTTAACTGTGCAGGATTTTCCATAATTTTAATGCATAATACAGTGAATACTGAAAAGAAACTATCAAAGATGACAACTTCAGCATTGATTTATAACACCCTTACTCTCTCCTTTCCTCTATGTATGGTGTCGGGACACACTGATATTTTCCTGTTTCACAGTGTTCTAGCCAACACAGCTGTCTTTATTCCCTTGACATTCACACAGAAGATGAATTCATCGCAGCCAAAAACAACAGTCTTTTTTTTACAATTTCATATTTTTTCTGCTTACAAACTGACTGCTCATCGTACACTGACAGCAGAAAAAAATAAAATGCCTTCTGTGGTTACTTCATTTTCTTTCTCATCATTCCACAGTACAGACATAACATTTTGTTTGTTTAGAGCAAAGAAAAAGTACGGAGTCCAAAACTCAGGTGACTGAAGTCATCTATTTGTCCATAAAGAGAATGAAACACAGGAGGTGCATATATAAGCCATTTCTTGTGTTGCTATAATACTATACTCACATTAGCAATAATTGTCTCTTAAACTGCCTTTAGGAAATCTTAAAGAAACTTACGGCAAAACTCAGGAGTCCTCCAGTCGATGCAGATTCCCTTATCTAAACAGGCCATTGCATACACTGCAATGGCATCACACATGCATTCACAATCACCTCCAATGTCACAACCACACGAGTCTCGGACACAGGCCTCATAATAGGGCATACGATTCACCTGTATTGGAAAATGAAGTAATGAATTTTCTGAATTCTTTAGTGCCTATTTTTTCAGAAGATGTTTTTTATAGGTCCCTTTTGGCATATGAGAAAGTCAAGAGAATCTGTTCCATTGAAGTAAGAGTAACTAGTATTTCCACTGAACACCTGTCAAAACAATCAAACTTCAAAGAACTCTTTTTAACAAGAATGTAGATATTTTCCAACTAATAATAGAAGTTCATGAGGTTTTTCCAGATATGTATGTCTAAATTCATACTGAACATACATTTAATCAGTTAAAAAAGAAATTAAACAAACAAACAAACAAACAAACAAACCACAAAAACCCACATCCATTCAGGCAGAAGTACCTAAAATTCACCAGCACTACAACTTCCACAGCTATGCATGACCACTGCAGTATCAGCTGTACTTATCATTTGTGGTCAATTCCTGAAAATGCAGATCTTCCTTCAGAAAGCCTGGTTCTGATAAATGTCATGATATACGAGTTACAATACATGGCTTATGAGGATTGATACATGACTTAAAGAGAAGACCTAACTAATTCTTACCTTATTGTGACAGGCAGAAAAGACTTGACTGTTGATGATGGAACATGTCTTTTCTGCCCAAGCTTTACGATAGGGGTTCTTGCTGCAGGGGTCCACTACAAAGTATACATCCCCACAGAGAGGATTCTCCTTCCAAGAATTCACAAATTCCAGTTCATTTGATGCCACATACTTGCTTCGGGTTTCAAAATCATCTTTCATATTGCCATTATAGTTTCCGCACAAACCACAGATAGTTTCCTGGATAAAATGAAAGCACTGTCAGTTGATTACTATTACTTTCATTCCCTTTCAATTACTGGCATTTTTTCCTACTTTAGTAGTGACTGTGATCTACAAATACTCTCTCACACGCTCTTTGCAAATTGTGCAGGAAGTCCTGTTCATCAGTGGATGTGTTTCTCATCTCAAATGTAAGTTGTCATAATTTAGAGACCAAATTCAACCAAAACATGCAGTTGTTGCATAAAATATAAAATCTTAGCTCAAAAAATTCCTGTAACGCCAAAGGATAATCACAAAAATCAGCCTTTAGTGAAAATATCTGCTGTTTTGGAGATAATGAATAGAAAATGAATTGCTGCTAACCTTTGCCATCATACAGAGTGAAGACAAACATCATTCAACTAGCAGGTCAATGCGAATTGAAGTATAGTTTACTGCAGAAGTTATTCTGCATTACCTGTGTTTCCCTGGAGATCTTGATGAAGAAGTTCATGTGCTTATTCCATACAAGAGTCATGTTATATTTTCCTGGGATAATGATATCAAACATCAGATGGAGGGCATTCTTTTTCACATTATACCTCACTTGAAGATTTTTCCCAGAAATAGAGAAGGTTTCATCTCGCAGTATAATAGTCAAGTTCTGGAAGAAAAGTTGTGCGCATGTTATAAATTATCAAGTTTCAGTATTTTTTTTGACTTTCCATAAATCACTGTTGCAGATCAGATACTGTACTGCTATAGAAAATCTTCTCATTTTTTACAGTAGCCAGAAACTTCAGAATAACTTACTGTCAGCAGTGATGAAGATCTTAAAAGGTAAGCGAGTTTCCTTGGATTGTCATCTTATCTTAAAATGATTGGCTTTTATTTCCTTTGGAATTTTTTTATTTAAATGCAAATCTTCATAGGAAATATTTAAAAATGTATTGTTTTAGTCTCATTGTTTGGTATACTAGAACTCTGATCACATTTTATGCATATATTACAGCCAGCCAGCCGTCTGCATCCAGCAGAGCAGAGGAGGTTTATCTTCATGTATTCTTAGAAATAACAGAAAAGGTGCAGAGAAAGTCAGTGTATCACTTGGGCTCTTCTACTTACTCTCTCCTGCTCTCATGTGTACTTTAAAACGTAACTCACATCATACCATAGTGTTTCAATGTCTAGAGAATCAGTAGAAAGGTTTGCATGGGGGTGTACGCACTAGAAACTAGATCCTAAGTGCAGCACTGATGAGCTAAAAGTGCCACTACACAGTAAAATGGCAGACGTGTACTGCTTGTAGTGACTGTTCATTGGGGTAAAAACTCAGCTGTCCATAAACTACTCTTTGATTACAATGAAAGACTCCAAGGTGAGAAGATAATACTGTGCATTAGTGTTCAAATATAGCTGAGAACTGCAAAAGTTAACTAATTTTGGAAGCTGTCAGACAGCAGTGACAATAGGGATTACTGATCACTGCTGTAATTTCACAGATACAGGTCACGTAGTAGGATAGTAGAGATCTGGAAATATTTTGAATTGGCAAGTACTATCCAGACTAAGAGAAATTTGGTGTAGTTTTGTAGATCATCCATGATAAGAATTCCTCAGTTTTATTCTGCTGCTTTCTTGAGCTTGGGAGAAAAAATAACTATCTTTTGACAGGGTGGGTAAAGTTAAAAATTTAATGACTTCTAAGGGAAGAGGCTGAAGGACTAAAACACTGACATGAGAACTGATAAAAAATACACCTACTAAAGTTTCCTACTAAAACTGAAGCTCTAGGCTAAGCACATAATTTCACATGCAAGACATACCTGAAGTGTCCAGAAGTAAAACAAGTATGGCCTTAAATGGCTATTCTGTGGAGTAGCAGTAAAATGAGGATCTTACCCCAAGGTAAATGCTGATGGATCTAGAGCATGTAACCCCTGATTTCCCACAAATGACATTCTCAGTAACAATTTTAAAAGAGGAAAGAGGTCTATTAACATTGCAGCCGTCCTAAAAAGATAAAAACACATGCATAAAGATTTAATAGACTCTGTGTCTGAAGTCTCTCAACTTAGAAGCACGAGAAAGTATAGAAAGCTCAAATGTGTCATGACTGTGATTCTGCCTTTCAGTACAGCAGGCCATCTTTATTTACTCTCATATGAGAGATAGTCCATCTGTGAGTGTCTTAAAATCCACTGCTTGCTATTAATAGATAGATCCTAGGATATTTTATGGTTCAGGTAACTGAACCATTCTATTCCTCATAGAAACCACATATTTGTAGTCAGAAGTGAAAAAGTTACTTCTGAATCACAGTTACCTCACTGTTTTGGGAAGTAACAGTGATGACCTCTGATTCAGTAGACAAACTGACATCACTGAAAGACACAGTTGACTGGTACCGAAGATGTACACAGCAATGACTTTAAGTGTTATTTAATCTAAAATTAGTTGCACGCACATCAAAAATTTCATTTTGTGAACTAAACATTTTTTATTTTAAAATTGTATATATGTAGAAAATAAGCACACTTCTTGTGCTTATTGAGATTCAAAGTGCTTTAATGGATATAGTGCATCCCAGGATATTTTCATCAGTCTTTTAAAACAAGGTACTTCTTGATACTAAGATACAGCCAAAAGCATCAGTAAGATGCAGATTACCATAGCTAATATGTATTCACAGTTGCCATCAAACACAAAACGCTGTCCATCAAAAGTGGTGATATGGCCTTCTCCATACAGATTACATGTTGAGGAACATCTTGATTTCTGAACACATTTCCATTTGCCTTTTCTGCAAGTGCTGAGAGTGCAAAGAGAAACCATAATTAGATTCTAAAGAAATACCACCTTATTTCTTTTTACATGCATACAGTTTTATAGATATGACATTCATTTAATAGTCTGGTGCACACTGTGACCAAGTCACATTTAATATAAGAACCACAAATAAAAATTATGGATTACTGAGAAAATTCATTATGAAGTAAATATGTTAAGTCTCTTTTGCTTTCTTTTCCACTGAAGAAAGAATATAAGCTTGTTTATTTCAGTTGCTGATGAGAACAGATGTCACAGTTATGATGCTTTGGGTGCTGGTGTTTTTAATATTACATTAAAAAACAGAAATTGAACAAAGTGCTCTGAGAATGCAGCTGAAGAGATGCAAGTAATCTTTCTGGGAAGCTGTTTTTATCTACAGAAAGGAAGGAAGATTGCCCTCATCTTTATTTAGGTGGAGTTGATAATTTTTGACCTTATGCAGTTTACAGTTAAAGTCCCTAATGGATGCCCTTGTTCCCTGGATACAGAGGTGGCATAAATATCCCCAAAGCTCATACAGCTGACTAGTAGATCATGACTCTTTCGTTTGTACTTATTTATTGTCATACTCATTTATACAAACATACTGGCAAGTTTTAGCCTCTATTTACCACCTCTATGGTTTGTCACTGTATTCCTTCTGTTCATCTTTCAGCTTTTGCCACTTCCTACTTTCCTGTCAACTAAACACCTTTGTTATATACCTGCACAAATTAGTGAAACTGCGATTCAGCAGTGGAAAATGGTTTGACTCTTACCAGATTTCACATTCAGTTTGGATCTGTTCACCTTTTCTATATGAAAGGCCTCCATATTCACAAGGACATTCTTCAGCTGGAACACACCTGCCATCAAGATTTTCATATAGCCCATCAGCACAGACACAGCCTGATTCACATTTAGTAGGAATCTGGTAAAGATCAACAGATTACAGAATGAAAAGGGATACAAGATGCATTTTATTTTGTGTGTGACTCACATTAAGGGTGAATCTATAATCAGTTCTATTTTTTATTTGATTTCAATGTTATGATTTTCCTTATGCTAATATACTAATCAATTTAATTACTTTCACTGAAGTTACAAGATATACCTACTGTGTGAGATACTAAACATACTTGAAAACTTTGAGAAATGTCTCTCATTGCTAACAATCTTTCAGACAAACAGAGCACAATATAAGCTTCTTTACTATCAAGGTACCCTATGATATTACAGTTCTTTCAGTCAGTCTGCTTCCTTAGAATAAAAGGGAAAGAAAACTCTACAGAGATAGACCCACCTAACTTAGGTCTCCTGCACTCCACAATCATCAACAGCAGATACTTTGGAAAGAATGGAACAGAAAGCATATACTACATGTTCTATGGGTTTCTAGTGACATGCAACTTATGGATTACTTGAGCCAGAGGTGATAATCACATATTTTAAAATATTTAGTGGATTTTTAATTTTGTAATTCACTTAATTCAATTCCTTTGTTCGCTTTTTAAATGTGTGTACTTTTTTATTGTCCACACTGTGGAAAAAAGACTGGTGATCGATCATATCATGTTAGAAGAAATATCTCCTCTCATTTCACTAGAAGAAACTGAATTCTTCCCAAGATTCTCAAGTTCTTCCTCTCCTAGAGGATTAATATCACAGGGCTGTGAAACTTACACATTCAATTCCAGTAGCCAGCATTTGACAAGTAGGGGCACATGCAGCTCCATACTTGTTTTCCAAGCTGTCAGAACATGATATATATTTCTTAGGCGCTTTGCAGCTTTCTATGAGAAAGGGAAAAAACAAACATGGGAGATATTGAAGTAACAATTTTATAGTGGAAAAGAATGTATTTCAAAGTAAGCCATATCAGACTCATACCTGCAGGATTTTGAAGTTTGCCAGTGCAACTTAGCCTCCCATTAACACAGTAGCTGGAGGAAAAAAAAAAAAAAAAAAAAAAAAGGAATTTTGATGCAATTCTCTCCTAAGAAATAAATTTAGGTTTTCAGCAAAATTACTTCTTGTTCTTCATCACTGGAAGTGCTTCATTTGTGTTGCTTCAAAATGGAATGTGAATCAACTTGCCTCTCCTTAGTATTAGTAGTGTACAGAAACACTGTTTTGAAAAGTGAAGGTTGGGCAATCTTGGTGTTTGTATACAACTGTACAGATAAGATTAGCAAAATCTACTACTACCCTCAACTAGGAATAATAAGATTTTACCAATTATTTTCTAATTTTTTCCTTAAAGTTTCCAAGCATAAGGTTAGTCAGATGTTTTCTATTTAAGAATTTTTGTACTTTAGGAAGTGGCAAAAAGATCTTAACATTTTTTTGCTATTAAAATAATGGAGACTGCACTGTTTTTAGTTGGGAGGCAGTTAATTTTCTTCATGGTAGTTACACAGTGAAATACTTTGGATTTTTGATCAAGATAGCATTGATAAACAAATGTTTTGGCTATTGTTGAATAATCTCGAAGCTGCCTTTTCTTCTCATGCCGCCCCACCAGCAAGTAAGCTGGAGATGCGTAAGAAGTTGGAAGGAGCCACAGCTGGGGCATCTGACCCCAAAAGACCTTTCCATACCACATGACATTGTGCTCAGCAACACATCTGGGAGAAAGAAGAAAAATGGTAGTCACTTGGTGTTACAGCACTTATCTTCTCAAGTAATCAGAAAAAGCCCTGCTTTCCTGGAAATGGCTAAATATCTGCCTGCTGAGAAGCAGTAAATGAATCCTTATTTTGCTTTGTGCTCACCACTCTGCTTATTAAGAAAGTTTATTTTTACATATTAAAAACAAAGAAAGTTATTAAACTGTCTTTATAGTGACCCACGAATTCTCTTGCTTTTGCCCTTCCGTCTTCCTCATCCTGCTGAGGAAGAGTGAGTGAGAGGCTGTGTGATGCTCAGCTTCCTACTGTGGTTAGCCCACAGCAGAGACACTTGAAGACACTTCTTCCTTTCATATTTGTTCATCTTTAAATCCGATACACCTACCAGGTTATGCCACCAGTCATTGTTGACTGATCAGGTAAGATGTACTTCCTATCTTCTAAATAGCAGGGACAATGGGATTTACGAACGCATTCATTCTTGTGGTTCAGATACATCCCCTTAGGACAATGGCAGCCTTCAATTGGGATGTCAGTTGGGTGACATTCCAGGGTTGGGTTGGAGAGTGACAAGCATGTCCTTTCACATGCCTGAGTGTTGTAGCTGAATGTTTGATTGCCAGTACAAGTAATGGCTGTAAAACAAGAGGAGAGTGTATGTTGAACTTCATTTCCTTGTCTTTTTCCCTATGAAAGATAACTGGGCTCACAGTAATGTACTGCATATATTCTGTCCATAACTTCAATACTCAAGGCTAGCTATTGCTTTTTTTTTCCTGAGGATGTGGAGCTGTAGTAAACAATATTTCAGAGCAAATCTTAATATGGCTGCTTGGAAGTTTTTGAAGGTTATATAACATCTTATTGCCTCTTTGTATATCTTGGAATGAAATAATACCGGGGGAAACTATGCAGAAATATTTTTACACAATTCTAAAAGCCATCAGTTCATGTGAATGTGGCATTTATACCTGCTAGTTGGTCTTCTCAAGTAATAAGTAGTTATTTTCTAATGGCTAATGTAGTTATAAAATATTGTCTCATTCTTGTTCAGTTTTTATAACAGGTGAAGCAAATCTGGGCGTTTTCTAGTAGATCTGTAGCAGAAATGCATTGGTTGAATTACTTACTGCAATTGTCCATACTGTTTCTCCAGTTCTCAAGGATTAAACCCATTGCACTGCATGTTCGTGCATATGATCCCAGAGCAGAGCAAATATAAGGAAAGGTCTCTTCATAATTACAGGCTTGGTAGACGCATCTCTGAAACCCAACCCAACACACTGTTACTGGGAGCAGGCATTTGGAAGTACTAAACGTACTGAACAGTACTGAGGTAAGTGAAGCAAAATACATAGTTCTGCATAACTAAAACAGATGAAAATGATCGGATTAATTTCCTGATAGATAGTAAAATATGCTTAGTACTGAAAAGATTTAGTTTATTCAATGCTTTCCATTTTTAATTTTCAAAATGTTTTATGGAGATTGGCAAATATAAGAAATTCAATTATGCAGCAGGGAAAGCTAATATTTTGCATAGTTAACATTTCTGAAAAGGAAAATTGCAGCATGAGCAAAAATATTTTCTCATTCTTAGAATTATAAAAAAAAATCTGAATTGGAAGGGACCCACGGTGATCATGGAGTCCACCTCTTGGCTTTGCATAAGACCACCCCAAAGTCAAATGATATGTCTGAAAGCATGGTCCATGGAATTCTAGGGATAGGATTGGTAGCATAAGGCCAAGTAGACTTCCATTATAGTGGAGGTTTATTTAAAAAGAACATGCTTGTTTCTTAGCTTCTATGCATTGCTGATTCAAATGAAAGGCGTACTGTATATGAGCTCAGTCTAGTCTATCTTTGTGCTTCCTCTGTATTCCATCTACCTTAATTTCCTACCTTGTAGAAAGGAGTAGGGTTTACCACAGCATGGCATTTCTCAAACACTGTACCCTTCTTCGTTAGAATGGAGCAATGAGTCTCAGCAGATATTTCTAAGTGAAACAAAGTCATGAACATAAAATAGCAGTGAAAATTAGGAGGAGATTTTGCTCTGCCAATTGTGAAATTAGAGGCTTGGAAGAGATCTCAAAGGCTTGTTTAGTTTACAAACCTGTCAAAGAAATACCACAAATGCTTACGTTAGCATTGACTAACATCTGACTAACTATTGCTGAAGACCTCCAATAATAGAGATTTCTTAACATTCCGGGAAATCTGTTCGAATGCTTCATTATCATAAAATTGTTTAGATTGGAGAAAACCTTCAAGATCATAAAGTTAAACCATCAAGTCATTATAAGCAGTATTACGCCCATAATTAGAAAATGTATCTAATAGAAAAACTGAATGTATTTCAGATTGTATTTTATCCTTTCTAACAGTGGTGTGGAGGGCGCTACTATTTCCATTTTAGCAGATCTGGGGACTACTAAATCTCCATTCATTTTTCTTCCAGTTGAATTCTCCCTTTTAGTGCATTTGTCCCATTTCACAATTGGTCACAAATTCTAGACCACAGGATATTCTTTCCAGCCTTCTCAGAGCTCTCTCCCTATAGCTGGTACTGCTTTTGTCAAACTGTAATTTTGTTTTCTAACAGCAAAATTATACACACTATTCTAGCTGAGATGTTGGCAATGATGGATCAAGTAAAAGGACAACTTAATATGTCTTGCAAGACAATATCATAGTTCTAATAGCTCATTTGGGCACCTTTTAATACTGATAGCTGTAGGGACCTGGATTTCAGTTGCATCGCTGCTGACATTCGAAGACATCCACAGAAATTACAGTTTCATTGGAAAAATCAATGAAAGTTCTCATTCATCACTTTAATCCCAGACCTCTAATATGGGATCCGATAAATTTTCACTAGATGTATACTCTAGAAATGAGAAATATCTTGGTGACTGAATTTTTGATTTTCAGTCAATTCAATCATCTCAGTCTGTGGTTCTCTCAATACTCTTTGGACTTATGGAAGTGGCAGATGAAGCTAGCAGCAGAGATCAGTTACAACAGGATCATCTACTTACTGTTCAGCTGACTCAAAGCACAAGGGTCAGTCTCTCTCTCCATAGCAGGAAGGCAATTTCCTGCCCTCCAGGAATCTACAAATAGGGAAGCTGTTCCTTCAGTGATATCCATACTAGTCATGAAGTCATCTGTAGTGTCTCCATTGTAATTACCACACAAACCTAATAATATCAGAAATGCGAGTGATGAACATTAAAAAATACACACAATGGTCTATATTCCATTCTTTTACAATAGTAAGAAAATTGTGTTAGAAGTTTCAGATGGAGTGTCAATGAATATGAATAGGTCAAACAGCCAGAGAATCTTAATTATGTGTGCAGTCACTGAGCTTCTCTCTGCCTTCTGAGGTTAAGATTATCCACTTGTATTCAATGATATCCATTCACACCAAATTTTTATGTCCTACTTCTGGAGAAAAATGCATTTTCAGTGGTCACAAATTAGATAAAAGATGTGAAATATTTTGAAGCTGGGTCTTTTCTTTTGCATATAAATCTGTAAATCAAGAGTATACGTTTAGACATTTTTAATGTCCAAAGCATCTCTAATTCCCAATAGATAACTAAAATACAGGATATGCCTTTGCATTTAAAGTTGCTGCACAGTAAAAATAGATGCCTCTGTCTGATACTTATAAGCTGAGAAGTTTTTGTATTCATGAATGACTCACTGTATGCACAGTGAATTTGCTTTGTATTCAAAACTCTATGTGCTCCAAGATGTAGTGATCACACAGGATAATTAATTGGCCCTTCACTGCCCTTCACAACGCACACTGAAAAAGGCATACAAAAAAGAGATCATAGAGTAGTTTGGATTGGAAGGAGTCTTCAAAGATCATCTAGTTCCAATCCCCCTTCCATGGGCTGGGATATCTTTCTCTAGATAAAGTTACTCAGAGTTACATTGAACCTAAACTTAAACACTTTCAGGGAGGAGATATCCACAGTCTCTCTGAGAAACCTGCCTCAGTATCCTAACTATCTTCAGAGTAATTAATTATTTCTAATGCCTAATCTAAATCTACTCTTTTAGTTTAAAACCATTACCCCTGGCATGGAACGAGTTCCACTTCTTCATAAGACTACACACGCTGGCAATGAGTCTCTCCTCATATTTTTGTAGGTCTCCTTTACGTTCAGAAAGGCTGCAGTAACACCCTTCTCTTTCTAGGCTAAACAATCTCAATACTATTAGCCTCTCTTCATAGGAAAGGTGCTCTAGCCACCAATTTAGTGGCCTTCCTCTGAACTTGCTCTAATATGTCTGCATCTCTGTTCTGCTGAGGATCCCAAACCTGGATGTAGTACTTCAGGCAGGGTCTCCTAAGAGAGGAGTAGTGGGGGAGAATCACCTCCTCTCTGGGAGGTGACCTGCTAGCACTGCTCTTTTGATGCAGCCCAGGATACAATTGGCTTTCTGGACTGCAAGTGCACACTGCTGGCTCATGTTGAGTTTTTCATCCAACAGTACTCCTAAGTCCTATTCTGCAGGGCTACACTCAATTTATTTGTCATTCAGTCTGTACTGATGTTTGGGATTGCCTTGACCCTGATGCAGGACCTTGCACTTGGCTTTGAACTTCGTAAGATTCACGTGTGCCCAATTCTAAACAACAGTTTTGTATTTCACATGCAAAAATGCCACCTATCAAATTCCATTGATGATTTTTAAAGTTATTACAGAAACGAAATTCTTAACTTATCTGTTTTCCAGTGCAGCTATTTTTGTTGGTTTTCCTTTGTTGAATCCAGATAAAAAAAAATTATGTGTTGTAGGATGAGTACTAAGCTTTCAAAATTACACTCTCTGAATTGTCTCCTTTTCATGGAGACTAGATTTCTTACCTAGGGTTCTGCCTTGGAATTGTGAACTGACTTTAACATAGGCCTGGAACACAGGTGATGTTTGAACAATGAGTTCCAGACCAAATTCTGTATGCATTTGAATGAACATCGAGGATTGTTTGAAAATAGTGATGTCTCCTAAAAGAAGAAGATTTTAAAACAGAGATATTCAAGCATAGGAATACTGTGTAAGTAGTGATTTTAATGTATATACAAATGTTTAAGCACTCTGTTTACACATCTTTTCCTTCCACATTCAAGTTTCCACAAAGGGACAGGTGAACTGGAAAAGATTATAATTTTCCTATAAAACCCGTTGACTGTTACTAGCAATAGCGAGATTAAAGATGTTGGATTTCATGACATAAAACAGTATTATGTATTATATTATGTAACATAATTCAATTATAGATATATAATATAATATATAATATATATAGATAATAATATATAATATATAATAATATATAATATATAATTTAGACTGTGCATATATTTTCACTTCTTTACCTGATTTGTAAGGTAGCCGCTTAAGTTCATCATCATCAGTAAGGAGTTCATTCTGAGAAATCACAATTTTGTCCTGTATGAAAAGGACACGGAATCCAAAGTAAACATTTGTACTGGTGGTATTTATATTTTCTTCAATTTAAGCAACTATATTCTCAATGACCTATATAACAGGAAAAGACTGATTCAAGCTTTTTCTTGCATTCCCATACTGTCTTCAGTTTTCATTTCAAAAATGCTGTAGTCTTCTGCACAGCACTCCTAACTTCATAAGTTGAAAAGACAACAAAGATATTTACTGTGTATAGTATAGTATCTGTTTCCCACGCTTTATCTGCTCAGACAAAATATTTATTTTGCTAGCCTGATTAATGAAAAGCTGGATAGAAACTGTGGAGGGAATTCTCACCTTTGTAGACAGGTAAATTATAGCACTAAGCGATGTCTCAGAATGAGAATAACCAGACTTTTCATAAATAGCCATTAGGGTTCCATTGTGTGGCAGGCTGGAACTCTGGAGGAAAATAATGCAAACGCATGTCTGTTAGAGTAAAAATTATTTGTGAAATAAATGCATAGCATTGGAAGACCTCAGCTTGTGTTCTAAGAGGAAACTGAAGACAGACATACATCCATTTGATTTTGTGTCTTTCTAGATTTCAGGAAATTACCTTCATAAGAATGTAAGTGCAAACTCCATGAAACCTGTATGATCTAGAATCAAATGTGGTAACAAAGGAGCCTCCTTCCAATGAGCACCTTCCAGGGCAGGGCAACTCTTTGCAGTTCCATTGACCCATTGTACATTTACTGAGGAAAACAAGAAATTCTGTGTAAGGTTATTCTCATTCCAAGTGATTATTTATCAGCAAAGATGATTTGATCCTCCTGTCTGGGAGTTTTCCTGCAGCTGATCAACTTGGTAAATTGGTTACTATACACAATGTAACACATATAATATTTACTTTTATTTCTACTGTTCTGAAATTTCTTCATCTTCATTCTAAAATGTCAACTACTTATTAGTGGTGGAAAATATCACTTGTATCACTTTTTGCCTCAACTTCCATGCTTTGATCTTCTGCGTGTTTGTGCATGAGCTGGAGTTGTTCCTCTTGAAGTTGCTGAACTCTTCCATGGATTGTCATAATCTCTGCTGAGCATATTATCCATAAAAAGTGAGTTCACTGTTACAGTTCCGAGTACTGTTTATGTTATTTTTTTATTTATCAGAATGATGATAGCGAATTAACAGTATACAATTATTCTACAGCTACAATACTTTCAAAATTTAAAAAATATAGTCTTCCGTAGTTATTTTCTGTTACAGAATTCAAACATGGTTTTCAGGACTGATTTGGTAATTTGGTCTGCTGAGACTGCCAGAAAGAAATTATAAATATTTGCTTTATTCTAATTTTACCTTCATTTTACTAGAAAAGATTAAAAAAAAAAAATTATTGCTTTGCATGATCTAATAGAACATTTGTATTTCTACACGAGATGAATCAAGAAATAAGACGTGCACATGTTAATTTAGTTAAAAATGTATTGTTTTTTAGCACTCAAAGAGTGCGACCTCAGAGACGATATGACACATTTTTAGCTGCCCTCAGGAAAGTTAGGCTAAATTGTCAAGTTACTTGATAAAGATGCTCGCCATCCTCTAAAGAACCTGTTGCTACTCACCAAGTTCTACACGCTGCTTTCATTGTATCACCAGGAGCATATGTTTCCCCATTCAGTGTACATGGGCACTGCTCAAGGTGAACACATGTGCGATTCTTTGAGATGTCATCAAGAACTGTTCCTGCCACAGAAGACAAAAATCAGAAGTATATTTTAGTATTCACTTAGCACTAATAAATTACATTCTTTCCAAAACCAGATGTCATTAAGAAAGATTCCTGCCAAAGATAAAACTGGTGGATGAGAATGGTTTTTTAATTACAGTTTTTCTAAGCATGTTAGCCTTGAACTATTCTAAAGGAGTAATACAGAATTCTTCTAATATTGCAGAACTTTTCAGAGGTATACTACCTTTTGCTGGTGCTCTAAAAGGATAGATACTTGTTTAGCAAAGGAAATGAATTAAATCTTAATCTATTTACATCATAGTACAGAAATATAAGAAAGCAGCTTATAATTATCCCATCACATGCTATAGAGTTGTAAGGAAAATGCTTTCTCAACTACCTTCTAGCAAATAGTAACCAAGGGTCTTTTATCATAGTGACACTGGTTGCGTTTTGTTACATGAGAAATGGCAGTTCTAGCAGCACAATGCCCTGGAATGCACCACTGTTTCATTGTGTAAGAATACTACTCCACTTGACTAGGTCTACATCAGAAGTATTTCTATGGATCATTAAGGATATGATGAAAACAGAGATGATACCTTCTGGACAAAAGCAACCATAGGTACAGTGACTGGAACAGCTGTACTCAGGGTTGGAGCAGGTTTTAATACACGGAGAACCACATTCCTCATAGATTTGATTAGCAGAACATTTCCCCACGGCTGCAACAACCAGAAGTGCAAAGTGTTAAGGTTTTTAAAGTGTAAATAGAAGAATCTCTCATCTACAACAGGGGATGGAAAAGATGTTGTGAAAACTATCATAAATAGTCTCTTACCCTGCCTCAGTACTCAGCATGAAAACTGCTATGATTTGGAGAAGACTTTGCTATTGTTTCACTGTGATTATTAAGAATTAATACAGTGAGTGCATATTGTGCCTCACTAATATTTATAAATTCCACAGGGCACTTTGTAGAAACTGACTCTTTTGAAGGATTAAAATCAATTGAGAACCAACCAAAAAATAAAATGGGTTAACAATTTATGTAAGAGGGGTAACGTTGGAGAAGAAGAAAAATTACTTTAGAAAGAAGTGTAAATGAAAAGATTTGGGGATAGTAATGGAAATTAGAAGAGAAAGCTTTCAGTATGTATGAGGAAAGAATGAAAAAATTTCATCAGTAAATAGAAAAAAAAAGAGCATTTCCAGTGCATATGAAGATGAAAAGAACAGAAGAATACAACACAAGAGATGGAGATGGAGGTAGGGTGAAATGATACAAGGCCTTGAAACTAGAAGAGGGATTTCACTACTTTTATGCTAAAATCTATATGGTAGCCAATCTCAAAGATTTTTTCAAGTTAACTGAGTTTTCCATGAATAAGAAGAAATATGTTCCCATTGCAGCATTTCATTTTTATCAATTTACTACCCATGGCTGAGATTAAATGCAATTAATATGAATAAAACATCTGAACTTACAGCAGAAGTTTTCAGTCCTCCAGTTGAACACCACTTGATGAGACATAGCACATTGCCTTGAATACTCTGACAGTGTAGAGCAAGTACAGTTCTTTTGTCCTGGCTCACTGCAGTCCTGCATGTCAAGCTGACAACGAGTGACAAACCCATCTTTTGGAACACTGCAGGTTGGTGACACCAGGTTAAGCAGCTGAGAGCAGATCACGGCCTAAATAAAAAAGGGAAACAAATGATCCTAGTAGTATTTTCCTCATCTGAAAACTAGAAAAGGAAATCTCTGCTATTTATGATTTTCTTGTTGGCTTTTTTCTTTCCCTTGCTTAGTAATAGGCATGGAACGAGTTCCACTTCTTCATAAGTTGAACAGTAGCCATTATTTTAGTGCCATCAATCTCCCTGTGAATGGTTGAGAACATCACAGAGAGAGAATATGTTATCTCATGGTGATTCATTAGGGAGAGGGACGTGTTCCTGGACAAATATCACTATGTTGATATATCAACATGCATTCCCCTTTGGGCATGCATTTGATATTTAATGTTGCCTACTGAAGTATAACATAGCAAAGAGAACGTAAAGAACTTAAACCTCCCAGCCAACAGAAATTCTCCACCAGATCAAAGTATTTTTTTTCAGTGTGAATACAAGTAATATTTACAAGTCTCTTCACAAATCTTTCTCACAGGACCCAGAGAAACGCCTATTCACTGTGGAAATTATGATTTGACTTTCCCTGATGAAACAAGAAGGTCATTCTAAGAATGATTTAATTCTTATATCTGCAGATTCTAAGAAATGGAAGCTCTTTTGTTCTTTGATGCTACTAAATGCCTGCCTTTGGTCAAACATGTAAATATGGATGCATCATGTTTCAGGTACGTTGATTTTCTTTCCATCTAGGACTGGAAGCGATAGCAACAGACAGCGGCTGACTCTATTGTAAATGCTATTATCTGGCAATATATTGAAAGTTTTTCTGAATGTCTTCAAGTTTGTACAGCTTACAATTTCAGGTTGTTTGTTGTTTCACACCAAGTTCATTAAAGCTCCATGAATTTCCTGTGATGACCTGCATCAGTTTTCAGAAGGCTGTGAGCTATTGGTATATTTATATGAATGACACAAATCCTGATTCAAAAGTACCTGAGCCTTTTTCAAAATGTATTTTGTTGCAAAGAACTCTTCTTTCTTGTATCATGTTATACAACTTTAAAAACTATTTTCTTGAAAGTGGATTTGTGAAACCATAGCCTCTCTTCTACTTTGTCTATCTCACTGCAGAAAATTCAAGATCTTTCTTACGTATTTTTTGTGAGGAATGGAAGGAATTGATATCTCCTCAGACAGACAGATCTCTGATGGATCATCCATTTTTTGTAATGCAGCAAACTTGTATGTATCCAGTAATTTACCTGTAAATTTAAGGGTTATAATTTGTCAGGAAAAAAAAACATGGGTTCATTTAATTGTTGATGTGATGGAGTAAAATTCAGATTCTATTCCTTGACTATAAAAGTTGCTGTTAAACTTAGTTTCCTGATAACAACTAGTTATTTTGCCCTCTGCCTGTAATCTGTCCAGTTAAACTTAGTTTTACAACCTTGATCATCTGTGGGTTGTTACCCACAATTATTCATGCTTCCTCATCCTATCCTGCACTCTTGTTTTCCCCTACATACATGGTTTTACTCATCACAGTCTAAAAAATATTGAAAGCTCTTTTCAAAGCTCCTTTCTGCGTATAGAATATAGCATTTGGAAAAATTATTCTGAAATAATTTTCAGAATCAGTTCATGGTGCAATTTAGTGCTTTCACACTAGCCTTGTAGTTCAGATTAGCAGTGTGCTTCTGAAGCAAATCATTCCTATCATTCCTAGTGCAATTTGGTTTGCATAGTGGATTGGCCTTGGTATACAGAATTGTTATCAGATTAAAAAAACTCCAGAGGATGTGTTCTTAAGAGGTCCATGGGCATTGAGCTCCAACTGCTCATGAATACCACTCCAATAGACCTGGTTAGAGTGATGGGCACTCCCTATATCACAAATAGGGCTGATGCCAAATTCTGAGCACCAATGAGTTTTTTTCCAAAGTTTCATATTTACTGGACAAACTACTTTTTAATATTCTTGTCCACTGTGTTCTTTTTATTAGAGCCTCGTTCTTGCTTCTGTCTAATGCAGTCATCTCACTCACTGCACCTTGCTAAGAACAAACCTTGGATGTTCTGCAAGTTAGGTGAGAAAACATGATTCTTACTGCTTAACTCTAAAATGTTATCACTTGTTTGAGGAACCTATAACTTTATTGCCACAGCAAATAATTATGCATAGCATAATTGTATGACAGATAGGTTTGTTGGTAACATATAGTGCTGCTCTACTCAACTCTAAAACTGAACAGTCACAGCAATTAAAGAATTAAATTCTGCCTTGACTTTGTTTGATTAGATCTCCTTCCATGTGATCTGCCATTAGATCTTACCTTCACTCACAAAGTCATTTAGTTCATAGCCATCATAATTTCCACACATTCCACAGGTCTTCCCCATGTATTTTTTTTCAGTCAAAACCTAAAATAAAATCAAAGGAAACATATAAAAGAATCACCCTAACTAAAATGATCTGCACAGTACTACTTCTCAAACAAATTCAGTTCAAGAACCCTTTTAAAGGAGTTCCTTCTCATTAATATCATTGACTTGACTGGATGAAGAGTTCTGAAATCAGTAACTTGCTTTCCTTATCAGCATGTAGTGAGTGTTCTGATTTTTCTTCTTATTCAATGAAAAAACAAGATTCTAAGAGATTTGCAGTTAACTGAGTGAGGCTAATACTGTAAGGAGCTGGAGAAATAGAAATAAAAAATTGCTGTTTCCTTTTGTAACTTTGTTGACAAAGCATGTATTTCAGGATTGTTCTCTTAGGAAATTCAACATTACAAGAAGAAAATCTACTTTCAGAGAAAGGTTATTCATTTGTTTATTGCTTTAGATAGTGAACTGGTAACATTGCTTCTGATTACAATCAATAAGTTATTCTGAAAATCTTAAATTGCAGGAAATAATTGGACTGCATGTAAAATATAGCATGCGCTGGAATATATTGTATTATGCTGCTGAAATAGCCTCAGGAAAGCATAGAGTCCAAGAAAACATCCATAGATCTCAACATCAGTTGCTTCAGATAACAACCAATGCTGGAATTTAAAGAAACATGTAGGTATAAAAAGCAAGAAGGTTAATAGATGAAACAGGAAATAGAATAAATACCCAAACAGTAAGCACATCCAAAGACCTCCAATTATATCTAAAAACTGTCAGCCCAGTAAGTCAGTGAGAGTTTTATTTTCTGCTTCATGAGAACGTTTTACTAACCATGAGGTAGTCCTCATTGTTCCACATGACAACTAGTTCCATCTCCATCAGCTTGGCAACAAGGCGGACACTGCGCCCATAAGGTGCTATTTGAATTCCATTGCTGGCATAAGGCAGCTTGATGACACTGTAAGGTGGGAGAAGACAAACTGAGCTTCTCATATCACTGTCATGTGGGTATTAGCTGTCTTTTTTTTAGACATAAAACACACTGCAATCTTAGTATTATAGCAACATGAAGTAGAATTTTTCTCCTTTGTAACTATAATATTTTGAGATGCATTAACGTTCCTACTGTATCAGTAGATACTGAAATCAGTATCAGCTGTTTCATGGAAGAATCACCAAGATATGATTACATGTATTATACTACTGATACTGTTTTTGTAGGACTCTGTATCTTCACTTGATTTGGTTTTATTAGGGCAAAGATATACATTTGAAAACAATGCATGGTCTACGTAAGTAGAAGTAATGTTGGTTCTCCTGAAGAACTACAGACTATATAGCCTGTCAACTGCTAAGAACAAAGACTGACAAGTCAAAGAAACTCACAAAGGGAATACTGTAGGAAGTTTTTAGCCTTGCAGCTGAATTTTAACACTGTAAAGCAACAACATTAAAAAACTGAGGTATTTTTCTAAGTGCTCAATAAACATGTATACAATCACAGAAATGTTGTTTAGGTGGGACCTTGTATGGTTAACCAGGCCAAGCTTCCACCTGAAACAGAGCTATCAGCAACACCAACACCAGATCAATCTTGGCTTTTGGAGAGTGACTGAGATAGAACGGATGGGAAACTTTGGTTTCATTTCCTCAGTAAAACAGCTGTTTTCTGAAAATCATAATACTTGGATAATGTAAGCCCCTCCAGTGTTTCTCAGTTTCTTGAATACTTCAGAGTTTCTCTTATACACTAGATGTGTTACCTTTAGTACAGAGGGCTCAGAGTTACCAAGTCTCAAATCAAATAAGCTTTAAGCATAACGCAGGAACTGAAAATTTTCAGTACCTTCTAAAGTGTATAATCTTTAGCAGCACTTGTGGAGGAGATTTAAACTATTGTAAGCATACTAGTATCACCTAGCAGACCGTAGTTTCAATGTGAGAACTGTTTTGGTTGGAGAAGTCTAGTTAGTTAGTTAGTTAGTTAGTGTTAACTTCCATGTTAATTTTTTGTTAATTCGCTTTTGACACAAAGTAGGCTACTTTGTTGAAACTGCCTCTTGCTTTCTTGACATATTTTCTCCCTTTCAGCTCAGAATCTTACCCGACGCTCCTGACAGAAATGCTGTCTTTCTCAACAATGATGACAGAAGGACCCAGTTCAATAATGATCCTTGCAATTTTTTTGTCCAGCCCGCGGCGGAACTGAATGTTGAAGTCTGGACTGGATTCATCACATACAGTTGCAAAGATATAGTTGCAAGTCCCAGTGAAGTCATACTGATATTTATCAAAAGTTGAAAAATGCCCTCCGCCCCAGGTAGAACAGGAATCCTTGCTCAAAACTATAAATGAGAAAAATGGATTTAGGCCTACTTGCAGTGCATTTATCCATTCTCATTGCCAATTCAAACACAGACATCTGATAAGTTTCTAATTAATTAATCATGTGAACAACATTCTAGAGATGTTTTTGTAGCCTTAAAATTTTACTTCTACTCAGGAAGTCAAACAACAGTTGGAGTAAGAGCAATACTCTTTTTACTGTAAGCAGGAGAGCTCCTTTTCTTACTTTTTGCTTTGAGAAACACCCTTGCATCTTGTTGGGTGATTTCAATGTTAACTACTTTGTTCCAGTCTACTCAATCTGTTTGTAAAAGTAACAACTTGCTACTGAAGAGATACCTTAGCATCCCAGATACAACATTTATGGGGCTATCTGTGCCTATCTAAGTGTCATGAATTCCCTGCACAGTCAGATCATGAGTATCCAAAGACAGCCTTCAAAACTCCACTTTTAAGTCCCCACTATTTTAGTTCTGTGTTTGTGTAGCAAAGTTCAAACCAACATTGCAAATATAGGGAATGTTTTAACCACGTATCATTTTTAACAATCACTTCTTGACTGAAAGGACAGATACTAGGAGGTTGAAATGAATCATGAAAAGAGATACAACTCCAGCATTTGATGTTACAGACATTTCTATACCTACTTAGAGCATTTGAACAGTCCCTCTGAAGCTGATAAAACAACTGAAGTAAGTAAAATCATCATTTTTTATCTATTTCCAGTCTTACATCATTGCTTGTCATTGTTCAATGATTTTGTTTATCTACTTTTATGAAGCTCAATGTTTTAGACCGTATCTTAGAAGCAGAAACTATCAAGTAAGGTTAGCAATGTCTACCTGCAATTTATATTGATTATTTTAAAGCTGAAACATATTTTTGCTCTTTAAGAGCAATGTAATGTTCGGAGAATACTGCTGTTTTTATTCTGTAGAAAAAACTGTTTTCCAGTGAGCTGTTACCTGTTGACACAAAGTACTCCTCTTCCATACTTCTGGGCTGTCCAGAACGTCTAACTGGAAAATAGGAATCGGCTAATTGTTATCGTTGATCCTTCATGTCCAAACCTAGCCGGCTCAATGTTGTGCTTAACAGATATGACCAGAAAACCCCAGCTTTTTCAGAGGATGCCAGGGAATGAATATGGTCAGAGTGCAATAGGTGTCCATTTCTATGAATACAGAGTGCCTGCAGAATGCAGTTTATTTGTTGTTACTTCAATCTTATTTTTAAAAAAAGTAACAAATGGGAGTATGAATAATTCAGGAAAATTTAAAATCAGATGACAGTTATTTGTCTGTTGAGTAGTTTTTAATTAAGTGATGTCTCGAGGTTTTCGTTTAATTTCTGTGTATCTGTGCCCCACATTTCCTCTGGTTTTAAGAGCTGACAGAACACAGAGATGAGTTGCTGAATTCTTCTAATGGGATGCCTTTATCTACTTTTCCCTTTAACATAAACTAATGAAGCTCTTCCTGTAGCCTTTCCATGCTTAAGCCGAAGAGCACACACATAACATAAGCCATTCTTTGTTTGCTACTTCTGCCTAAAAAAATGCCAATCATAATAACATTTGTACTTTATATAATTTTTGTTACCATTTTAATTATGAATTATAATGTAAATTATAAATTATGGTATTAATTATAAACAAACAATTATATTGACTGCTCTAGTAGTACTTCTGGTAGCTAACCTTTTTTAGCAATTTGGAGTGGTATTGCTAATTTTTCACTTTTAGTAAGAGTATTTTATCGTCTTTTTGTATTTCTTACACTCAGAAGGACTAGCACAAATTAGCAGTAAGTAGGCAGCTGGAGTCAACTTTGATTACAGAATAGGATGCATGCAGACAAACTTTCTTCACAGCTGAGAGAGAACTTCTGGGAAATTATCAGGACTTGTGGCAACAATAGCTACAGTTGGATGCTGAAGGGGAGCTATATCCAGACTGTCTTCCTTGCTTGGATATAAGAGTGAGGAAGAACTATTCCATATTCTGTTCCCACACCATATTTATTTACAAGGGCAATCTGTAATCTTTAAAGTAATCTTCAAAAAAATCTATATATAGAATCAACTTTCCTTCCTGGATTTTGGAAATGATTCAAAAGAATCAATTCCCTAAACTCTTATATAATATTATTAGACCGTGATCTGCAGGAAGGAAAGCCAAATGGATCACAAAAACGATTTTTTAAATTCTAAATTTCTGAATTTGGATCCCAACAGTTGAAAGTTACTGTAACTGCTCATATCTCTTCTGCCCTGTGGCATCAAAACGTAGCAGCATGGTAGACAAAAGCATTTTCCAGTTAGTGTTAAACTTACCACAGCCAGACAAAACACAATACCACCCTTTAATAGGCAAAACTCCTCATTTACAGCTTCTAAAATTAATCCTTTAAAACCAATTCTCCTTGAGGCAAGAATTTATTTTTAGTATATGTTTTGTACAAAGTCTTCTGCAATATTGAACTGATGCTGAATAGAGCTGTTACTCAGAGCTGCAACATGAACATTAAATAACATGTCAGATACTTACTTCTTTGCAAGGTTTCTTTCTGTTTTTGGAGAAAAAAGTGGGACCAGTAATCTCCCTCAAAAGCTGTAGGAGGAAAAAAGACAATATAGTTGAATTCTTCTATAGGCAAATCATTTTTATTATCTTTATTTTGATTTATTTTTAAATACTGTACAAACCAAAGCACAGCGGGCATATATGAATTGTGTCCTGATAATTATTGTGGAAAACCAAATATTTCTGCTTGTGATAGAAAATTTTTCTGCAAATGATAAAATATTACCAAAGACTGCCAGAAATCCTATGTAATACAGGATTTCCTGTACTTAAGCCTCAAATCCTTCCTTGTTAAAAACATATGGGATAAATTTTGTTGCATGTTTCTGAATTCTTAGTCCATCATATGAGCAGATGCAATAGAGGGACCAGCCAAAACTGGGAAATTATGGGCAAAGTAATATCCCATGTGTTCTTTACAAGCATCATGCTATTTGTAGCAGAAAAGTGAGAAATCCCCAGGCCTAGCAGCCACTTTAGCTGTTCTTGCTCAAGAAGAATGATGAAAGCTGCTACCTGCTCCCTTTCACACAACTCTTCACAGTCTGTCTAGTGATGAAAAGCCGAGGAACATTTAGCAAATGTGGAGTACAGTATTATCTTTCCGACATGAGTCCCCCTAGACATGCACAACAGCACTGTGATCTCATATGTACCCAAAGGTTCTCTGTACTAGCAGCTTGCTTCCTACAAAGAAGTGAGAAGAGTGTAAGATGCTGAAAAGGGCTTCTACGGACAATCTATGAACAGTAAACCCTGTGCAGGTATACAAGCAGAGCATGCATGGAGCCAGCTTTTCATACAGTCAATATTTAGACATAAATAACTAAAGAAAACTGTCAGAAAAAAATACCTCCACATGCTTCAGAAACATGTTACTCCTTTATTGAAGTTTTTCAGGTCCAGTATTTCTTGGATGGTAGAAGTAAATATCCTCTAGAAAGCATATAATTATCCATTCCACCTTTAGGATCTTTTGCAGTAGAGAAAACATGAAGGTATATTATGACAGAAGGCTTCTTTAATCTCAGAAGCCAGGCCAGGCCTACATACAATTTATGTACTTCAGCTCTGCAAGACTCTGTTGTTTCTTAAGGAAACAAAGAGAATAAAAGCTCTTACAGAGCTCACCAACTGTAAGAGACTCTCCAGACAATTCCACACAGCACTGTTGAACTTGAGGTAGTGTTTATTATGTGGTATACAGCACACTGCTTCTTCTGTTCTCATGTTCCCAGTGAGCCATGCATCACACTGAGTACATCAAAAAGAGTGACAGAATGAGTCTGCGTGGCTATTGAACAGGTACTGTTTACAACCTAGAGTTATTGCTATGTTTTCTGAACACCTTGATTTTTATGTTTCCACTTGTTTTATTATTGCATTACTATTCTATTATAATCTATTTTTGTTGGATTGATAGTTTTATAATTACTGTGTTTTAATCTCAAACTGCAAGCACTACATTCAAGGGATTTAAGAGTGTGTAAAATCAGAGGATATTTGATTTGTAGAAACTGAAAACATGTCTAAAGCATTAATTTAAGTGAGATTTAGCCAGAAAGCTTGAAATAAATCAAGAAGCCCAACAATGGCAAATATTTTAGATCAGAACAGTTTACAAAGCTTATTTGTTATCCATCCAAGCTTAAAGTTTGTAAGTCTAAGCATGTGAAACAGTTACAAAATGTTATAAATACTCCAGGATTGGTATTGACATTAAAAAAGAAGAAGGTGATAATTATCCTGGATCACCTGGAGGTGTGTGAGGGTTGTACTAGAAATACCTAAGGTTGTGACACCACTTGACTATTTTGCTCAGAGTGGGTATTAAAACAAATATAGAGCTACTTGTTGACCATCTGCCAATCAGTCTGTATTCTGTCAGATGATGCTATTAAAATGATTACAGTAATTATTCTAAGCATTTCTTTTTCTCACATTTAACTCTTAGGATATTAATAAAATTATCCTGGCAATTTTATGAACTATTTCCAGTTTGCAATAGGCTCAAAATCCAGATCCATGAAAAGAAGAATTGGAGTTCTTGCTTTTATTTAATTCATTCTGAACGGACTATGATTCTGTGACTGAACATGGATCTGAAGTTGGAAATAATGAACATCCTGCCTGTTTGCCAATTTTAGTACATACAGATCAACCTCTTATGATTCAGATGTTACTCCAAAAATTGTCAGATTTTAAAGCTAACTTAACAAAATGAAATCTTTTTTTTTTCCCCACAGTGTCAAACACAGCATTACATTTCACAAGCTAAATATTTGCTGATACACCCCAAGATAAAAAGATCACTCTGCTATTCTACATTCTACCCTTAGACTTTTATTTTTAAATTCAACAGAAGTTCCATCCTAGAAAACTCAATGCTTTAGAGATGAGATTCTATCTGTATTTGCCCAGGTAATAAAGAAAGCTTGTGGCTGAATAGGGGTGGGCAGGAATTGTCCAGTTGATTGTTAAAGTTAATGTTTATAGTGATATATCTACTCCCCAGATACACAAAATCATGCATATTAAAACGTATAGGCATTTGCATTTTGGGTCAGAATCCAGGGTTAAGGTGCTTGAAGTGATCTTGGTTACAATGGTGTTAACACAGTGAACAGAGTTAAACTTGATTTATAACAATATAACTGAGATTAGAAATTGGCTCAATTTCTAGAGTCTACAAAAGAGTCTACAAAAGAGTTGAGTAACTTTTTTTTTTTTCCTAGTGCTGCAGTTTAGGTCAGTGATTTAAGAGTAATATGTGCCCTCAAGCAATTAGAACTATATGGTCTATTAAATGTAGTAAATACAGTACAGAAGAAATAAATTTAACTTGTTCAAACTAAAGTAAGTGAAGTATGCCTTTTAGCAGTTTGCAACGTGTTCATAAAATTAGAACTGTAACAACTGATAATCACTGAGAACCTACAGAAGAGATAAAACAGAAGACATTATCTTAGACAATAGCAAACCATGGGTGAAAAAGTGTCATTCTCCATTGAAAATGCTACAGGAAGAGGAATGAGTAAGGCAGAGTAGCTATAAACTTAATTAACTTGCCTGTCAAGTCTTAGTAAAAAACTACAGCCAGATGAGTTAGATGAAAATTGAGCACTTTATAAGACTAAAGAATTATACTGACTAATATATGCAGGAATACCTAGAGTCATGTAAAAATCAAATAGACTGAAATAATATGAATAATATGCATGTACTCCAATTCAGCATTCTTTCTCAAAAAAAAAAAAAAAAGGAAAAAAAAAGATGTCATCACACAGCACACACTGAAAACTTTTTTGCAGTTTGTATAACAATGGGAAAAGATTTTGAAATGTTTATACAATCTCTTCTTCAGAACTTCCAGTGACATCTGTAGGACACAACATCAATAACATCTGAAAGATAAAGGCATTCTGAAGCTAGGAAAGAGAACATAAGTCTATTAAAAGTATTTCCTGTATTTAGAGAGACTATTATAATTTCTGTATTTCATACTTGTTTTAGGTAACTATCCAACAATAACTGTTCAAAAAAATGAAAATTTAGGAAAAACAACCTACTTCAGTTATGTATTTATTAAATATACAGTTGTATTTAAAAGTGGTGAGGGAAAAGAAAATGTTTAATGTCTGATGGTCACAGGAAAGGAGAGTAAGACTTGAATTGTACTATTATTTGTTGTAATTTTACAGTGGAGTTTCCTACTTTGTCACAATACACGTTTTCCTTCATATCATACACAGAGAGGAAAGTGGACGTTTTAGACTTACCAGCACATTGCAGACAACTGTAGAAGATGAGCAGCAGTGCTGTCAGAAACATGATGCATGCCCTAAACACAGAGATTTTTCCAGTACCCTCCTCTGCTGCAAATGGGCAGTGCTCCTGCTACCGCCACTTTCTAGGTTTACCTCTTCAAGCCTGGATGCTTTATATACAGAATTCCAATGCCCTCCCTCATTCCCATGGCTTTCAGAAACTGTAGCAGCAAAGCACCCGCCAAACAGGATCTCCTCTTCATCAAGCTCAGCACACCTAAATGCCTTTAGAAAGAAAAGAAAAAAGAAAACAAAAACCTTCTTCAGTGTGTTATCATTCTTACAAGACTTTTATACTGATTTCCACTAGTAACAGTTTGATCACATTTAACTTCACTTACTGAACAAATTTGTTATTATACCCAAAAGCAATTGAGATCAATAATATGCAAATTCTACCTGATAAGGAGAAGAACAATACTGGACCAACACAAGTAGCAGAAGAAAGAAATGCAGGAGATTTGGAAATGCTGGGAAGACTGCTTGGATATAAGATGGCATGAATGAATAGAGATATAGATTTTAGATTTAAAGAAAAAAAGTTCTTCTTTTATTAACTTTTATCCACTCTCCTTACTGATTCTGTTCATCTCTGCAGTTCAAGAAGAATGATAAAGTTTACCTCAGTAAAATGGGCCGCCCTTGGTACAAGCACAGGAATGATAGAACTTCTTTCTTGAGCTTGTAGAGGATCTAAAAAGGCTCTTGAGTACCACCTTAGCACTGCCAAGGGCAGAGGGCAAACTATGTCATTGTCTCCACCAACAACCCAAAAGAATAGCACCCGTTCTTTGATCTCCCCTCATCAGAGCTGAAATGCCGGAGAGACAGGATATGTTCAGTTATCATTGCCAACCCTGAGCTGACAGAATATAAACAGAACTTTACTTGCTTGATCTTGGCATTTTTCAGAAATCACTGAAGTTTCCTAATAAAACACAGAAGTAATGGTTTACCCTCTCCATATGAATCTCTTCAGCCTTTCCTGTGTCACCCGTGCAATACTGAAAGAAACTCATTACACTTCTGGATTTCAATTGTCCTTTTCTCTGATATCATTATTTTGCTTAAAACGTAGTTCCTCGTCATGTCCTCAAATTTACCCCTTTGGGCAATGGGAAGATGTGCATGAGAGACAGTAAAAATACTTTAACCTAATTTCAGACTTGATTAATATTAAGTTTTAATTCAGATGAAGGTCTGCCTTCATTTTCTTCCCCCTCTCATCTTCCTTTTTTACCATGCTTCTTCCAACTGAAGGGTAAAATGTATGGTTGTTGATAATAGAATTGTAACCCCAAACTCCAAAATTCCTGTTGAAAAATTTTTTACACCTGCCTTATGACAAAACAAAGTAAATGAATAACAATAAGATAAACTATTTACAGTGGGGAAAAAAAACACCTGTTCAGTCAAAAAATGGCATTCAAGAGAATTTCATACCAAGTGCTTGCCCACATCTATATGCTAATCACAGCATATCCCACCATTCAACCAGACTGCGAGCTTCTAGTCTTAAAAGCACTCACCTGTCAGATACAAGAATAATTTAATAATCTTTGAATCTGTGGCACCCAATGCATTCTTTTGTTGCTTACAGAACTTTTTCACAGATTTCACCTCAGTACAGTTAGAATAACTGAACATTCAAAATCAACTCTAGTAATGAGAGAATTACCTTTGTCTCCAATATTAAAATCTTGTATCTGTCTTCTAAGGAGATCTCTTCTGGGATGCAGGAGGTTATAAGCAGCACCTACAAGTATATTCAACCAGACAAGTCAAAACTATGGTTCAAGAATAAAGCATTTACTGCAGGACTGTGGAAGGTGAATACATGCTCAGCAATCAGACAGCTATTTTACACAGAACAGCTACATAAAAATTAGCTTAAATTATCTTAAATAATTAAAAAGTTATTTCAGAGGAATTTATCCAGTTTTGTGGTTTTGGTGTTTTATTTTCTTCTTTTTTTTTTTTTTTTTTCTAATGAGACACTGACACCCTTAATTAATGCTAGTTTTGTTTCCACGTCATTGTTATAATCGATTTAGTAATCTCATAACTTCATAAATCTCAGTAATAAGTGTAGTACAGATGAGGAGAGATAGATACTGGCCATGTATATTTCTTAGTAAACATTTCTCAGTAGTTAGCTATAGCTTACTTTCCAGCATGATGTGTAATTCTGAAAGAATTAGAAATACCAAAATAATTTATGCTAAGCCAGAAGTTATGCATACTGAGAGCCGAAACAATTTATGTAAGTAACAGACTGTTTTGCAAAGTACAATTTATGTAGGTACACCTACTTCTAGGATACTCTGATGCTTTTACGATCTCCAAGAAAACATTCCACCTTCAGTAACATACTCCTTTGTGCATCAGTTTAGCAACCTTAAATATGTCTGGATATACAAAATACAGCATTTGAATAGTCCTATGTTCAACACAGTTCAAGTGATTTCCAACTTTGGTAGCTTGTGCTTGTAAGATTCCTTTGCTCTTTTTGGTAGAAAGAAACCTGACACAGCAACTGATCTGTTATTTGTATTTTTCTTTGAGCTGCAGTATTTTATTCAAAATTTAAATCATTTGGAGATATTCTGATGCTATTAAAAACATGACGCCACTAAAATCACGCATATTTGAACTGCCAAATTATCCTAGAAGACTGACCTTCAAATAAATGTTGTAGAATGTTGATCCTATTAAGAATATTGATGGCATTTAGAATATTGAAAATTGATGATAACATCATCATAACACCATTAAATATCCGTTTAACATTTTCATAACACCATTAAATACATTGAACAATCAGTTTCAGAATAAGGTAAAATAAAGCTCTTGAGTACAACAAGGTTACCCTTATTCTATATGACTGAGACATTCACTATGACTAGAAAGGCAAAAAAAGAAGTTTTGTCATTCCAAGGGAAAAAATCAGCAATGTCTTGTAGCATCAGTCGTAATGGAGAGTCATAAGCCATTTGTGGTGTGCTGATGGAAGGTGGAATTGATGGAAATGGTTAAACTGAGTTTTTTGGTATAGACTGTGTCAATGTAACTCTGTATTTCGTATTATCACTGCTAAAGTACATGCATATTTGAATGTATGGAAGATGTTTGAAATGTTTCAGAGGAGGAATTGAATAAATAGGATTGCTGCATGAAATGGATTTTAGGCCAATTCTGCTGACTAAACCAGAAACGATAAAATCCCATAGCGAAAATAGACATTTAGATGACTGCATTTCTCATTAAAAAATTGCGAATCATTAATATAAAGAGAATTTTGAATTAATATAAATAAGAATTTTGTCCTGGCCATGGATAACCAACCTACCAAACAAACGAACAAAACAACTGAAATCCCTTTTATCTGTGTTATGGTGGGAAAAAGTGTGATATTACTGACTTATCCACCATGTTGGAAAGAGTTAGAAATATTCCTAGACTGTAAAATATAATCACATATAATTCTAAGACTGGTCTTAGAATTAAAAAAACAAATTTTAAAGGTAGCTTAAAGGAAAAATTACAGATAACATGGCATACAGTAAATATTGGGTATTTTAAATATGATTCTTTGAACAAAGGCCAGAAAATTCAGTATTTTGAAACACATGACAGGAAGGAAAAGAAGAATGCAATGACTAGACCAGGTTGTCAAGTGAGCATGAAATGACTAAGTATTATGTGCTCTACCTGTTCTGTCTGCCTGTTTCTCCTTACTGTCTTGCACAAAACTGAGTCACATACACTGCTGCTTCTGTAGGCTAAGCTTATTGCACGTTTCAGAGGCTCCTGTATATTTGTGCAAGAAGCTGGCAGGCAATCAAGCAGGCAGACGCTACATAGCCAGCTGATTGCACTTGCTGCCAAGATATTTTCCCAAGAAAACTGACATTAAAATAGACGAATATTCAGAGAACGTTCAAAAAGTGGTAAAAAAAAATTATCTTTTTAACTGAGAAATAGTGACAAAAAAGTTGTAACCAGCTATGTCCTTACCATCAGTCTGTGTTGCAGCTTCAGATCCCATAATATTTATGATGACTCTGTGCACTTTTTTGCACACATCTCTTTAGGATCTTTGGGCACTTCAACTCTCCCCTCCAAGCAGTATCTAAAAGAAGCCCACTATGATTGTGCCGTAAAAGACTAAGTAATCCACCTCCTGATTTTAGTACAGACCCACACTTTATGCTATCCTTCTGGTCACCAAAATCAAGATAACTCTTCTCCTTGGTATCTAGACCATGTTCTGTAATTCTGGAATTTATCCGATTGTCTTTGAAAGAGATGAGATACATCACCTATAAGCAGAAAAAAATTCCATGGAGTGGATTGTTAGGGCTGACATTGGGTATTTGACTGCAGATATTTAGATCTTATATTTGTATAACAATGCAAATTACTTTCTGTTGCAGTATACTGAGACATAGTGGCTATGGGCGTTGTACAAGATTTCATTTCTTGCTTCAAAGTACATGGAGATCAAATCTGAATATAAACTAAAAAATACAGAGTGTACATAGGAAAAAGAAATAAAACTATCAGAAAGTACTCTTTCACTGTTCCAAAAGTGCTTTAGTACTTCAGCAATTGTAAAGTCAAGTCTTTCCCATATACTTGTTTAGACAAAAAAAACAACACAGTAGGAAATAATTTAAAACATACGCTTCTAGAGGTGGTAAAGACTTCATTAACTTGCACTTAACTTTTAATTATAATTTGTTTTAGGACAATGGCCTGAGACCTCCCTGTGTTGGCTTTATGCCTCTGGCATTCACTTTGATGAATACCTCCAATACTATAGCTGTGGGGACCTCAGCTGGTGTCATTCACTCTTTGTACACTGCCAGCAAGAGAGGCTGAGAAAGCCTGCAAGTCCCAAAGTTCTCTGAAGCATGTCCACTGCCCTGATGACAAACTTGGTCAAAACATTTAAAGTGTTTCTGGAATAAAACACTCTGTGTGCATGCGTGCACAGGTAACACAACAAAACAAACAGAGCAAGGCCTGCCACAGTGAGAAAGAGTTTTCATCTAATGTTATTCTGTGCATAGGGATAGACAGAAGGCAAGTTCCCTCTCATCACCCACGCACAGCTCCCCTACTCCTGAATTTTGTGTTGCTCTCACTGTACTTGAACCAGTTTGAATTCTTATCACTGAAGCAGCGTGGGCTGATTTGTTCTGTAACACCTCCTTATGAAG